TACGATTTTATTGGCAAACTACCATTGGAACATACAGCAAAGGGAATTTACCAAAACTAAAGCAGATATAATCTGGATTAGTTATGTGTAGCAACCATTCAGCTGCTTTCATTTTCAAAGGTTAATTAAACCAGCCGACGCTAGAAATCGATTGGTTATTATACACAGTTGCTACATTTCTAGTATATCCCCCCTAATATAATTTGCAAACACCCTGCAAAATATACACCGATCAGCCATAATCATGACCAACCACCTAATATTCAGCTGATCCCCTTTTGATGCCAAAGCAGAACTGACCCCAGGCATTGATTCCACTAGACCTCTAAAGGTTATGATATGGTATATGGCATGAAGTTGTCAATAGCAGATCCTTTCAAAGAAGAACAAAACTTATCCCAAAAGCAGGGCTATAACCCGTCAGATTTTTTTTTTAGCCATCTGTGTCCCATTGCAGAGATTTCCCTTCGCTTCCCATCCCATAGCCTAACAGGAAGTGAGAGGAAATCCCTACAAATTAAAGGGAATTAAAATTGTCCTCTAATAGACAGCGCCACTGGATATACGTCGGGCGTAAACTAAAAAAAAACAAAACAAAAAAAAAAACAAAAAACTGAACTAAACAAACTCACACCGGGAAGGAGAAGGAGCTGCTGTCTATTCTTTGGAATACAAAGACATAAACACAGTCATTATTTATAACAGCGCTCCTCTACACCCCTCTCTTTTATATCCTATTATCCTCCTCTGTGTAAGCAGCAAGCATATAACCATACCATATGTGAACTTAACAAATCTTTAGTGTGCCACACCAATATAAAATTCTTATATAGTGTTCCCCCTGCGCTTAATATGTACCTAAAAGGATACTAAGCAGCTAACCCCTCGATTCCATAAATATAGGTGAAAAATGCAAATAAACAATATGGTACCACTACATATAGTAATATAAACTCTATATAAATAATAAATTAACCAGTGATATAATCCTTATAGGATCTATATTAAACGTGAAAAACAGTGAACATGTGTGAATCCACACACGAGGTCCTATGCTTGGACCCAATAAGTGAGCTGTAAAAAAAATAAGTGATGAAAGCATATAAAAAAAACCCAATCCCTAACGCGGGATAAATATACACCAATTGTGTCCACAGTGAATCTCAAATGCGGGATATAAATACAACAACAAAAATTTAAAGTGCTTAAAGAATGTATACACCAATCTGTGTATACAGTGAATCCCAAATGTGGGATATAATGCAACTAAGTGACAAAGTGCTCAAACAGTAAGCATATACTACAAAAAATGCAATCAATAGATCAATATGTGAAAAAAAATTAATATATTGATAATAAAAGTCCAATATATGTGCAAAGATGCAATCAAGGTGCTTCACTGCTCCAGGGCATGCAATATACATGTGCACATTACATCGATAAATTTCCTTCACTGGCTGCAATGGTCTTACCTCAAGACGCAAACCCCAAAGGGCCAATGCGCCTTTTGATCACCCCAGGATTCTTCCTGAACGTACACTCCTTGTTACCCAATCTCCTGGGACTTTTCCACACTGGCAACACAGGTTCCCTTCCACTGGGTAGGTAGGTACCCTCAAAATTGCCAACTTACTTTCATGTAGCTCATGAAACAAGAGAAAAGAGATTCTCCATAGTGCAAAATGCTTTTTATTCCTTGTAAATAGCTTAAAAAAAAATGCCAGACACTCACATTTTGATCGTGAAATACAAGCCTTCACACCACATGTAATGGGTGTATCTGTATGAATCAAAGTGTACCAAGATGGCATTCCGCCGGATTTACGTCACCACGTTTGTCGACGCGTTGCGTCACGTATACACTCAGAAATGGGTGGACACCTTCCAGATACGTGCAGCGCTTCTGCCGCAAATACTCAAAGTCACTTAGCTGCATTATATCCCACATTTGGGATTCACTGTATACACAGATTGGTGTATACATTTTTTAAGCACTTAAATTTCGTTGTTGTATTTATATCCCGCATTTGGGATTCACTGTGGACACAATTGGTGTATGATATTTATCCCGCGTTAGGGATTGGGTTTATTATATGCATTTATTCATCACTGATTTTTTACAGCTCATTTATTGGATCCAAGCATAGGACCTTGTGTGTGGATTTACACGTGTTCACGGTTTTTCACGTTTCATATAGATCCTGTAAGGATCATATCACTGGTTCATTTATTACAACACTCCCAATTACTCCACAAACTTTGGGGTTAATCAGACCTCATTATCATCAAATAGTCGATAAATTATCAAAATTGTTGTCAGACCCTTTAAAATGGAGCCAAAATTCTTTAAGCAGTTTTACTCCGCCACAACTTGTTCAAATAAGCCATTTCAGATTTATACAACACCACAGACTGTTATGACTGCCTAAGTTCCATATGCCGGATGGGTTACATACAGGGCAGATAATGAACAGGTTTCATAAAAAGTAATTGCTGCAGAAATTTCAGAAAACTTCAAAAAGAATGTTCATTGTCATCTGGTAAATGGTAGTATGTGAGCATGTTCACCAGCACACTAGATTAATAACGCAAAGTGACATCAACCACTTAAAGCAAGAGAAAAAAAACAAACACAATTCTATACAAGTACCTGTAATAATTAAACAAATAAATAAATAAAAATAAGTCTGGACCAGGTTTAACATTTTTATAAACTATTAGAAGTGTCTCATTGTAAGTATAGCCACCGACACTTCGGACGTTGTTATCTCATTCTCCCACATGGAGTCTTTGATTGATTGGTATCTTTATAAAACCAGAAGTGTCCTGACTGCCACACACCATACAAAGCCCTTCATACTTGATTCGTAGCAGCCTCAGCCACGTCCCCCAGAATGTTTCCCCCACCTCTGGGGCTTAGTCATAGTTCTTGACTAAGCCCCAGGGACAGGGCAAAAGCAAAATGCGTCAGCCATGGCTCAGAGCTGGCTGAGGTTGCTACTTAAAAAAAGGAAAAAAAAAAAAAAAAAAGGACGAATGGCTTTGTATGGTCTGCGGTGGTCAGGACACTTCTCTTGCATGCATGTTCACAGAGCCAGGACAAGCTCTTTCTCAGCTTGCACTCTTAGCTGGGATCAACGGACGCTACCGCAGCAGATCTAAAAGCTTAGTAAGATTTTCGAGCCCTGGTCCATATTCTTCCTGCTACAATTGATGGATCTGTTTGCTAAAGACTCATTGTCCAACAGACATGAGAGCTTCAAGAATAGGACTTTACCCCTGAGGATCCTGACTTTTCAGGAACTTTAGCACCCATACTCTTTTACCAGGTATAGCTTCCAGAGACAGTCAAGTTTTGGAGATTCACTCCTGAAATCAACCAAAAGTGATTGGCACATACGTACTTCAGCCATAGCGGTGCTGCTAGTAACAAAGAAAGCATTGCAATAACATGGCAACAGAAAACAAAAAACCATGACCACGCTGATAAGGTCCAAATGTACTGTAGACTGAGACCATGCTTTTGGTGACTGGTGCCACTTTACTCTAATATGAATGTTATCTAGTGAACAGGGGTGACATTTCATGTATAAAGTGGTAGTAAACAATGCTTGGTGACTTGCATGTACAGGTAAGCTTACCCATAGGTAGGAATATCACCTGAACGTGCACCATTTTGGAGATAATTACTATTTATGCAGCTGGTGATAACACCAGTGCATGCACTTTGCGCTTTGAAGGAATGAAATACTGAATATGCCGTCACCTCAGAATACTGTGCTCCCATGTGCATGAAAGGAGTGACGTCTTCTCGGCCCGGCCATTCAAATGGCTGGAGCCTGCAAAACCGGAAGGAAGACGGGGAAGATGGAGGCCCTGTCAACGTACCGCTGGAGGGCCTTGTTTTAAGGCCAGCCTTTCATAAGGTGCTCGTATGCAATGCAAACTAGCACATTATGACATTAACTTGCAATGGACCAGATTTTATTTTTTTTTTCCCCCCCCTCCAGACTTTACTACCACTTTATTGAACGTGTGTTTATATTTCATATAAAAGCAAGATTTACATTTTCCAAAAAAATCTGTCTTTGAACTCCAGTCATATGACATTACCAAAGCACAATCTGGGAGAATGTCGTCATTGGCCTGCATCAGGCAGGAGGAGGCATTTCCTCATTCTCTCCCCCCAGAGATCACTCAAAGTGCAAAGCTATAACATCGTGGCAATTAACGAGGAGAGAGCAGAAAGGTATTGATCTTCTGAGAAATGTGTACATAGCCCAGAACATAACATGGGCACCAGGATTTACATATATAGTGACATTAATGTAAAGAAACCAATACTTCTAGCCTTGGCCAACTAAGGCTGATGTTGCTCTTCTGCACCTGTTGCCGGGGTTAGCAACAACATGCAACAAGATGCATGAGGAACACTTACCTGCATTGTGTGCGTCACTCCCTCGCTGGCTTCAGCAGTTCAGAGTCACTTCATCACTGAAAATGCTGCAGAACTGCATTTACCGGAGAGAGAGAGACTCCTTGCTCATTCAGCTGGCAGGACAGCAACACACACACAAGGCAGTAGTTTCACCTCCCCGTCTCCCCCATAGCAATCTTGTAGCTGGTCAATTTACACCAGCAGTGGGATCTTAAGTGTAAAATCAGCCTAATTCAAGCATGCTCAGGTGGGGTATATTAAAGTGTTACTAAACCAACAACAGTAAAATCTGTCTGTATATGCAGTAAAACAAGCTTGTTATACTCATTGTGGGAACCTAAGGGGTTAATCCTCTGAATTGTGTAAAAATGCCATTTGATCCTTTCTCCTCTGTTCCTCCCCTTTTTCAAGGGACCACCACTTATCTCCAGACTGAACTGTAGGCATGCTTAGTTTGGTGTATATTGCTAGAGGGGTTTTTTCTTGTTCTTGGGAGAGTGCTTGTGATCAGCACAGGGCCAATCAGCACTGTCCAGACAGAGGTCAGGGGATTTCCATCCTCCTAGAGCAGAAAGAGAACTCCTCCTACAAGCTTTAACCAGTGCTCTGCTGGACACTGATAGAAGTCACAAGACTGCTCTAACTGCTGATGAGAAAAGGTATGAGGTATTTAGCAGTTTATATTTACGAAAATAATTGCATTTCCATGTTGTGTGTACTGTGGGAGACCAGATATAGTGGAAGCAGGGTCCTGGGTTTAGTAACACTTCAAGTACTATCAGGGGGGGGTTACAACATGACATCCTTCCTATAGAATAAATGATACTGCCTAGCAGCTCTTCCTGCAAGAAGAGACATAAAAGCCTTTTTCTCCCACCATTTTCACCCTCACATTTCCATGCGCATACAAATGCACATGATCACACCGTAAAAGTATATGTAAAATTGCACCTATTAAACTTTGGGGCGTCTGATCCACAGCTATATCTGGATAATACAAGTCACTTCCCAGCCATTAAATGTAACACCTTGTCAATAGACTCTACTTGTAAACTTCCCTAGGCAGCTCCTAAGGGAGCTATAATAATCATCTAAAACACATTTAAAGCTCTTATACATAACTGCCCCACTCTATATAAAACTGCCTAAATGGTGTGTTCGGTTCTTCTTTAAATTAACAAGACTTCCACATGAAAAGAAAGAACAAGAGGGGAACATGCAAACAGCTTAACTTACCCTACAAAACTAGAAGCCTCTGAGAGTTTATGGCCTTTACTGAAAGTCTTCTGGTGATAAGACAATTCATCAGTCCTTCCAGTCACAGGTAATTAATTTTTTTCTGCTCTATTTGTGAAGCAATTACCTTGTAATCACTAGTCAAACAGATAAGTGCAAGTAAACGATCTGCAACCCCCCCCCCCCTCCCCACCCAAAAAAAACCTGCTAAATTAGATTCAGCACACCTTCCTATTCCAGATATGTCAAGGCCTAACAAACCAACAGACAAATACAGGATAAACAATTTTCTTAAAGCGGTAATAAAACAAACATCCCTGGGACACTTGTACCTACAGGTAAACGTATACGATTGCCCTGCAGAGGATTTACCCGACCAGGCCATTTTTTGCGATACGGCCCTGTTTTACTTTACTGACAAATTGCGCGATCATACAACACTGCAACCAAATGAGAATTATGCCCTGTCCCCCCCCCCCCCCCCACAAATGGAGCTCTCTTTTAGTGGTATTTGATCACCTCTTATTATATCACGATTTGACTACTGCAACTCCCTCCTCACCAGCCTACTTCAACAACAGGCTATCCCCGCTTCAGTCTATCCTGAAAACGGCAGCCAGACTCATCCACCTTACTAACCGCTCCGTATCTGCCACCCCCCTCTGCCAATTCCTCCACTGGCTTCTGATTGCCCAGCGCATAAAATTCAAATTATTACATTGACGTACAAAGCTGTTAATAACATTGCCCTAAACTACATCACCGATCTGGTATCCAAATACCACCCAAAACGCACTCTCTGCTCCTCACAAGACCTCCTACTCTCTAGTTCCCTGGTCTCCTCCTCCCATGCCCGTCTCCAGGACTCCCCCCCCCCCCCCCCCCCCCCCCCACCTCCTCTGAAACTCACTACCCCAATCTACCAGACTGTCACCTACCCTCCTCACCTTTAGGCGCACCCTGAAAACCAATCTCTTCAGAGAAGCCTACCCCGCCCTCACCTAATTGCCGATCTCCTCCACTCTTCTCACCACTCCATCCCCCCACAGCTTTTTCCTCCTGTACCACTCTCCCCTCCCTCCCTAGACTGTAAGCTCCAAGGAGCAGGCCCTCGAACCCCTCGTGTATTGTATTGTTACTGTGCTGTCTCGTGTACTGTCTCCCATTATAACGTACAGCGCTAAGCAAACTGCTGGCGCTATATAGCTATATATATATACACATACATACATACACACACACACACACACACACACACACACACACACACACACACACACACACACACACACACACACACACACTGTATAATAACTTATGGTTTTTATCTTTTGCAGTAGAAACAAAAAAAGACGAACAATTTTGAAAAAAAAAAAATTTATAATATATATATTACACACATTATATATATATATATATATATATATATATATATATATATATATATATATAAATTTATTTCCCTTTGTTTACATTTTACTAGAAAACATCCAGTAAAAAATTTTTTTTTTTTTTTAAATCAAATTTAGTCATAAATTTAGGCCAAAATGTGTTCTGCTAAATGCCCAATATGTGTACATTAATTGGTTTACATGACAGTTATAGTGTCTACAAATGGCAGTATATATACTGGAATTTTTTTTTTTTTTTAACTAATAATGGCAGTGATCAGCAACTTATAGCAGGACTGTGGTGGGCATTCTGATACTGGGGGGGGGGGGGGGGGGGGGACTGACTGTTACCGACATCCCCAGTGACACTAATACAGTGATTAGTACCAATAAAAACCACCCAACACTGTGCTAATGACACTGGACAGGAATGGGTTAACATCCAGGGCGATAAAAGGGGTTAACTGTGTGCTGTGTAAGCACACTGCTTTGTATTGCTCTGCTTTAATATAGCTGTTCTCCATCCAGAGTGTTTTTTTGCATAATACAGGAGGTGAGTTACTGGCCAGAAAAATGAGGGGAGAAAAAAGCCTTAACAAAAAGAAAACTAATGCAGTCACTACATCCAAGGATTGGTAAGCTGCAACATATTACATTTTTGGTTTTGGGTTTAACACGGCTTTAATAATGTTATAATTTATACTTGGCAGCTTGTCAAAAGAATAGCAATAAATTGGAATAGAAAAAAAAGGTCACCTTGTTTCTTTCAAAGTATCTACATTAGGAAAGCATTATATTAAAAGATAACTGACATTGAAGAAAAAACCTGTCACTTACATTTCACTACTTATTTAGGTTATAAATAATGAGTAAGATTCTGAGGCTATTTCTAGGGACTAAAACGTGCATGAACAAAATGTAACATTCAAGACTAAACGTTGTTCGTTCGAATTGATACAGATAACTCTGTCAAGTAAGCAAATAGGGATGTGAGGAAAAATGCTGGCGAGCATTCATTGCCTGGTGATGTTTCAGCCAATTTTTGAAGATCAGTCATGACTTTTCATTTCAGTGAGTGCACTGCTCGGCAGGGAACAGGCACAGGCAGACACAGCAACTGACATGCCAAAATCAAATCTCTTAACGCATGACAGATATTCTACCACGATAAAGGTATTCCATGCCATAAAGTGACCTACCTCATCAAAACCCTTCATAAAAATTTAACACACCAGCCATATAGGAACACATATATACGTTCTACAGGAACAAGTCCACCCACCTGACCATTCAGTGCCCTGTCAACACATGCAGGCATCGGAGAATTAAGAAGAGAGGTTTAGAATTATTATTTTTTTTTTTTTTTTAATATATAAATTATACTTACCTAGGTGGAAGCAGCATCGTTCTGATGCTGCATCTGTCCCAGGTCAGTTCTAAGGATGAGAACTGAGCATTCAGACACTGCTGATTGCTCAGTTCTCTCCCTCTGCTCTGACCAGGGAGCTGGGTCTGTCAGTCTCTGGCTCTCTGCTCTGCCACCCCAGCACTTACTGCAGTACTGGGCTGTGGAGGAGGCGAGGAGGGCTGGCTCAGGCTCTCGGCAGATCGCTGGCAGGCTGAGCCAGCTGCCAGCCCAGGATTCTGGTTGGATCCAGACTTTAAAGCTTGTGCAGAGCAGACATGGACACAGTCCTATGGGGTGGTTGGATGTAAATGGGTTGCCTGTCCGTTTACATCCGATCCCCTAGACCAGGGGTGTCAAACTGGCAGCCCTCCAGCTGTTGCAAAACTACAAGTCCCATCATGCCTCTGCCTTTGGGAGTCATGCTTGTAACTGTCAATCTTGCAATGCCTCATGGGACTTGCAGTTTGGCAACAGCTGGAGGGCCGCCAGTTTGACACCCGTGCCCTAGACAGATAGGGATCCAGTCCAGGTTTATAGTGGATTGGATGCTGGCATGTGTAAATGGACACATGCCTGTTTACATCCGCCTCCCCATAGAGAACAATTGATGTCCAAATGGGTCCACCTGTCCGTTTTTTTTTTCGGGCGGACTTAATCGGTCTGCCTGAGTGAAAAGGGCCCTAAGTGGGTTAATATGCATTGACTGTATAGACTCACTCGCACAGGCAAGTATAGATGGATGCGAGGTCTCAAGCTCTGTGTCGGGGGCCATGCATCCATCCCTGCAGGCCTGTCAAACTTCGGTTGTGCTGGCAAGTCCATACAGCCGATGCGTTTTCAGTCACTTATGAGGCATGACAATTTAATTCCCGGAATTCCCGTGGCATAGCATTAAGGCGGTAAGCCACACAGCCATTCGCACCGGAGTGTGTTCTGACATGGTGTAACTTGCACTCGCCTGGGTCGCAGACTAACTGACTCAGACTTTACGGAGTGGTAGAAGAAATAACGTGCTTTTCGCTGTTGGTGGAAAATGAGTAACAAGAATCAGATTTACGGTGAATATTCCATGAAGGAATCAATGTTACTGAATGGCATAGGCGGTTTAAAATGGAGGGGCAAGAAGATGTCCTTGGTGACAAAAGAAGTGGGCGGCCAAAACCGCAAAGGACTGATACAAATGTGGACACTCTTGAACGTGAACATGAAAACAGAGTAGCAGATTCTCACGGAGAATGAGAAAGATTTCTACAAAGATGGTGCCTCGAATCTTGACAGAAGATCAGAAAGAACACAGTCTTCAAATTTCATCCAATCTTTTGAAGAATGCAGAGGTGATTGATAGGGTTAGTACCAGTCCATTCCAGGAATTAAAATGGTCACACCTTGTATTTGGGCTGCCTGCACATAGCTCAGCACTAATACAGAAACGGCTCTTCATGTGGTACAAGGCTGAGGGCCTGTGTGAATGGACCCTTAAACCTCACAGTCCTACTGTCCCCAGCCTGCCCCTTTGATTGAATTTAAGTTTTATCAGTCATGGATACTGAGCTTCACACGTCAGCATTACCTAGGGCAGGCTGCATGCAAAAAAACAACCTACCTCAAAATGCCTACCCCTCCAGACCGGCATCCACCCATCTAGTAATTTTGACACCTGCATAAATCCTCCCAAGTCAACCCATTGCTTTTATCTCGGGTGGAAGGGTGTTTGCAGGCAGATCATGGCTGAAGGGTAGCAGCAATCACATGGAGAAGCACGAAGACCCAGTAATATTACTAGGTCTAAAATAAGGAATGGAATGAAAACAGAAAGGTTTTATTTAAACATTTCATGTTGATGGGAGGAAAGGAAGAACCAGGGAAGGCAAAATATAACCAGACCGAACATCAGCGTTAACTCAAAGTCTGCCATGTTCGGTTTTAAACGTCCTGGCATTCAAGAGGGTAAAACAAGCCCACAGCTGCTGCTCTAGGGCAGTGTTTTTCAACCTTTTTTGTGCAAAGGCACACTTTTTTCATGAAAAATATCACGAGGCACACCACCATTAGAAAATGTTAAAAAAATTTATTGAAAAACTTTTTGACTTGAGGGCCGCAATGGGTTCATATATTGGACCCGGGGCCGGACCAAGAGTAGATGAATGATGTGTATGTGTCATCCATAGTAAGTATAGTAATATTCCCCCATAGTAAGCATAGTAATTAATCCCCCATATAGTAATTCATCCCCCCTATAGTAATTCATCCCCAATATTAAGTCCCCAAGCCCCCCCTGTGTCAATTCACTTACCTTTGCTCCGCGCGTTCCTCTCGCCGTTCCGGTGTAGCATGAAAATCTGTCTCCTATGAGGATCTTTCCCCCTCGACGTATCTGCGCATGTGCCAGTTTCAGGCATTAGCAGCCGATCGGCGATCTCCGGCACATGCGCAGATACGTCGAGGGGGACAGATCATCCTGACAGTATCACGCTCCGCGGGCCGGATTAAAAGGTCCGCCGGGCCGTATACGGCCCGCGGGCCGTAGTTTGCCCATTGCTGTTCTAATGATTGGTCTATTTGTGAGCCGAGGCCACGTTACGGATGAAATTGCAATTTTTCCCACGGCACACCAGACAATATCTCACGGCACACTAGTGTGCCGCAACACAGTGGTTGAAAAACGCTGCTCTAGGGCACTTTTATGGCACCAGAAATGTGCCATATAGCCAAGTCCTGCCAAATCTGAATCCCAACAAGCATACTTTTTAACACCAGGATCAGAATGACCGTAGCAGAGCCTGTAAAAACAAAAAAAAAAAGGCACAGCTTACCTATTTCTACAGTATCTTTACAAGTTGCCTTTAAAAGCTGGTAAGCATGAAGAGTCTTGAAACCATTAAAGAGAAGCATTATATTCCCATGCATTCATGTCAGGTGACACTGGAAGTCCTAAACCTGTGAACACTCCAAGATTAAAGTGGTTCAAGATTTTTTTTTTTTTACCTTCATTCATTCTATGTATGCTTCCCCCCCCCCCCCCCCCCCCCCAATACTCACCTAAGCCCTCTCTCGATCCAGCAATGTGTACTGGAGTCTCGGCTATCCTGGGACTCCCTCTTCTCATTGGCTGAGATAGAAGTGGGGAGCCACTGGCTCTCACTGCCATCAATCACAGCCAGTGAGCCAATGAGAAGATTGAGGTGGTGGAGCCAAGCCACAGTTCCACATGTGAACTGACACACAGGAGCAGCGGGTGCTCCCATAGCAAGCCGCTTGCTGTGGGGGCACCCAACAGGAGGGAAGGGCCAGGAGCTCCAGCACGGGACCCGCAAAGAGAAGGATCCGGGCTGCTCTGTGCAAAACCAATGTAATGAGCAAGTATAGATATGTTTATTATTTTTTCTATTAAAAAAAAATAAGCCTTTAGAATCACTTTAGGGCTTCCTGTGACAAACGCCAGCACTCCTCTGGGAAGGATACAAGGGAGCTCTAGAACAGTATAAATTCCTGCAAAGTAGTAGCACATTTCTTCCCATGGACCTTGTGCACTCACTCATTCCTCAAATTCACCCAACCGGTTCATCCCCTGTGCACTGTAGTTTGTCACTGCAGAGCAAATACCACATGTAGTGCTAGGCTATTGTACAAGCTAATATACTCAAAATGTATTGTCATACAAAAAAACAAAACAAAAAAAAAAAAAAAAGAAATTTCTACTTTAGTTTTAAAGTGTGACTTGCAGTGCAACAAGCATACCTGTTATACTCTGTGGAACCTAAGGGGTTAGTTAATCCTTTGCATTGTGTAAACGCTGTTTGATCCTGACTTCTCTGATCCCCCTCTTATCTCCTGATATGATATATAGTGTAGGGTCACTCTGCACATGCTCAGTTTGGTGTGTATTGTTAGAGAGCTTTTTTTTTTTTCTAGGGAGGGTGCATGTGATCCGCACAGGGCCAATCAGCACTGTCCAGAGGGTTCTGCTTCATCCTAGAGCAGAATGAAAACTCCTCCTACAAGCTTTAACATGTGCTCTACTGGACACTGATAGAAGTCACAAGACTGCTGTAACCGCTGATGAGAAAAGGTATTTAGCAGTTTATATTTACTAAAATAATTGCACTTTTATGCTCTGTGGGAGACCAGATATAGTGAATGCAGGGTCTTGGGTTTAGTAACACTTTAAAATTCCCTTTTCCACAAAGCTTGATAATCCAAAGATCAATGGAGGGACACAACGTATGACTATATTCCCACAACCAATCCACCATTTCCATCCTTTCTGTAGGTCAGTAGGAGGTGACTGCAAAGAAGCATATTTTTCCCTTCACCTCAAGTATTTACAACACTTTAACAACTCAGTTATTGATAGTGACTTACAGCATTCAGAGAGCACAAATTAGAAAGCAATCATTATGGCACTTGTTTCAAGAAATATATGGTATAAGCTGAAAATTCTCTTTAGAGTGGAACTACACTGCATCTGAGCACCAAAACCGCTATTTAATTCATTTTTAATATTTAAAGAAAACTTCTCAATCCATTCATGTCTCCATGCATTATTTTGCTGAGCTATCACTTTGAAAATTTCTGGACAATCTAGAATTTCTGGCCATGGCCATCTTGAGAAAGGGCAGATTCATGTAGAATCTACTTTCTGGAAACCTTTAGCTCAGGCATGCAGGCAGAAGGAGGGCTTAGCCAAGAAAAGGCCTCCTCCCTTCCTGAAGACTCCTGGAATGTATGAAATCATTTGCCTAGGCTAGAAGTAAGGAAGTAACTGAAGAAATGTGTTAAAATATATTTACTTGTTTTAAATGTTTTTTTATTTTTTAAAATTTACTAATGCTAGCAGCAAAAGGATTAAAAATAGTCACCTTTGATTCAGAGAGTGAATCCCACTTTAGACTTCCACGTTCTGCAGTAGTTTTTAAATTGTCTGCAAGAATCAATGCATAAGGCTCTATTCACACTAGGGAGTTTCAAATTGCAGGCGGAATTGCCGCGATTCTGCCTGGGATTTGAAAGCGTGAAAACGCATTCAGGTGGCATTCATTTCAGTGGTACCTGAAAAAGCGGGTGTTTTTGCTGCGATCATGGCACATATGTATTTTTTAGTTGCATGCAAATATGTGGCTGCTCGGTGTTAAGGCCCAGACGCCAAGAAGCCGCATATTTGCGTGCGTGCGGCGTCAAGGGGTTAAAGAGGAACCACAAAACATCTAAGCAGCACAAACCAAAAACTCGAATTAATTTTTAATATTTAAAAGCAAACTCCCCCCATCCATCCGTGCTTTATTTTGCCAAGAAATCACTTCGAAAAACACGTGTCATACTTACCTGCCGTGTACAGTGGTTTTGCACACAGCAGCCCGAATCCTCCTCTTCTTGGATCCCCCGGAAGGTTCTCCTGACCCCTCCCTCCTGTTGGGTACCCCCACAGCAAGCAGCTTGCTATGGGGGCACCCCCTGCTCCGTGTGTCCATTTACATATGGAGCTACGGCTTGGCGCCACCCCTTCTCTCCCCTCATTGGCTGACTGGTTGTGATTGGCAGCAGCGGGAGCCAATGACTCCTGCTTGCTGTCTCAGCCAATGAGGAGGCAGACACGGGACAGCCGAGGCTGTAATTCACATTGCTGGATTGTGATGAGGCTCAAGTACAGAGGGGGCTGGGGGCACTGCTGCACACTGGTGGTTTTTTACCTTTGTGCCTAGAATGCATGAAGGTTTAAAAAAAAAAAAACTTTGAGCCTTTACAACCACTTTAAATTTAAGGTTTACATACATTTAAAATCTTAATAAAGGTTTTATTACAAACTGCCAAGAACGTGCTGCTTTTGAGCCGATACTTAAAAATAGGTACATAAACAGACAATCCATACACCAGCAACATGCATAATGCTTTTATCTTTGACGGAACTTCGTATTCCCTTCTTCTTGCTTTAGCAAAAAACAAAAATCAGCAGATAGATGTTCTGGCGTTAAAATTCAATGATAAAATCTGGTGATGAAAACTGATGTATATGGCTAAGTACTATTAATTACAGGCATGCTTTCTTTAAAAGGATTCTGTGATCCGAGTTACTTCTCCAAGGGCCAGTGGTTTGGTCTCATTAGACATGAGCTACTAAGCCAATATGCTGAGCATTTTTAATATCACTGCGAGAACATGGGACGGCTGCCTCTGCATATGTTACAAAAAAAAGAAAATTCATCTGTGCAGCAATAAATCTGTCACTAGCTCACTTTGCTAGTTATGAATTTTAACTCCACTTTCTGATTTTGACCGCATTCATCAATCAAAATCAGTTTAAGCAGTCTTAACTAGAATTTCATAAGCAGTATAACCTAAAAAGCCATCAGAAAAAATAGGCCAAGCATTAGGTGCTGCTCAATAAGGGAAAAAAATACTATGGAAGTCTAATACTATAAATTAGGGGACACTTCAAAAAAAAGTGTTACTAATATATACTGCACCTCTCAAAATTATTACAGCTTCAGTCAGCTGAAATAAAATTTAGTGTTTTTGCAGACTTATCAGGTTTTTTTTTTTTTTTTGCCAAGATTCCCTGATATTGATTCTAAGCTTACAAACCATTCAGGGCAGAAAATCCCAAAAGGTTGATTGATGGGGTGTGTGATGGTGGTGAAGTACAGCAAAATGTTTCGTTTGATGGCAAAAAAAGCACAATTTGTCTTATCAGACCACAGAACCTTCAACTACCTTCAGAGCCTGCAAACTGTAGACCATGATAATTTTATTTAAAAAAACGGAACTACACTGCATCTGAGCACCACAAACTCTATACTATTCATTATTAACCTCCCTAGCGGTATGATGATGTCAGTATTTCTGTGCTTAAAGTGGTACATTGTTCGCAATGGAAATATGTTTTTTTTTTATTGTAGGCCTGTAATTCTTAAGAATAACTCAATGAAATCTGTCCGAACAAGAGTCTAGTAAACATCCCGGGTATGATAAAATTTGAAACACAAAATCATAAATTATAATATAATAAATAATCATAAATAATATAATACATTTTATTCAATAAACGCAATTAAACCAAAAACACTGAAATTTGAAATAGAGTTCGCACACCACTGAGCTTAGTCGCAGAATCGTAGTGTCTGATGACGAATTTCCCTCATGAATCATTATCGCTCAATTCTGCAAGTGATTCCAATTAACTATCACTGTTTTCTAGACGGTCTAAAACCACTTTTGACCTAAAGGGACGCTTTTTGGACGCAATGGACGTTTCTCAGTTTCCAGGCAGAAAGAATGTAATGCAGGCAGGGCACAGGACAAAGCACTAGGGATAAAATGTATGTGAAATGGTTTGATACAGTAATGTAATACTATCAGATTTTAGTGTATTATGTGTATGTAAATTTTGCCATTTTTGAATCTTCCACCGGTTCCATCCCCCATATGCCCCGACGCTCGCAGGGAACGGAACCCGGAAGATGGAAGCCAGCATCAGTCAGAGGACATGGTCGGGGACGCAGCGGGAGGACAGCGTGGGACCACGGGACAAGGTAAGTGAGCCAGAGATCCCAGAGCAACGCTGCAGTGTAATCCCGAGTGTAGCTTGGTGTTACCGCTTCTGGTACTGAAACTTAACCCCGAGCTACACTTGTATTCAAGAGCATACACCCACATCCATCCATGTCTCCATGCATTATTTTGCTAAGAAATTATTTTGAAAATAACCCCCAGCATTTCTGGCTGTGGCCATCTTGAGTGAGGGCAGATGATTCATGTAGCATTTACTTCCTGTAAACTATCTGCCCTTAGCTCAGGCATGCAGGCAGGAGGTTGTGCTTAGCTGAGAAGACCCATCCTGAAGACCCCTGGGTACATAATCAATTGCCTAGGCATAGAAACTAGGAAGTAGCTGAAGAAATGCAAAAAAAAAACCCCCAAAAAACAAAAAATTGAGATATACATACCTACTGTATTTATGAATACTAGCAGCATAAGGATTAAATATAGTCAATGTTGATTGAGAGAGTGAAGTTCTGCTTTAACAGTGGCTTTCATTGCACTCCACCATAATGCCTCAGCTAGTGAAGCACTCAAGCAGTTGTATGCATGACCCCTCCACCAAAGAGGCTTGTAACACCTTTAAAATGGTCAGGGATCTTTTGGGTTCTGCTTCCCTTCATTAGTCAAGGACATGCACAGTCACTTGTTTTAGTTGGTGGTCAGCCCGGTCTTTACAAAATTGAAGCAGAGCACATCTGTAATGATGTATTAAAGGCAAATTTGTCTTTATTACGTTTTTTTGCAGCAATGTTTAAAGAACAAAAACGAAAGACATGAACAACATGTACAGGTAGACAAACAAATTCCGAGCATAAAAACGATCCAGAAAAGTAATTGTAGGGAACTGTACTCCATGAATAAAATAAAGGATCAACATCAGCTGATATGGAGATGCCAGGAACACATTTTCCCAGGAGGTACCCCTGGGTGAGATACGCAGAACATCAAGAGGCACCTCCATATAATTCAATGTATCAAACAGGGCTAAGAGGAAAAATAGTGGAGTGTAGACAGAAAGAAGAGAAACGAGAAGTTAGTACCAGAGACTGAAAGTGAATGAAAAGAGGGGTCAGGAGGCGGGGAAGACTCAGGGTAGGATCGCAGTGGCACACCACCAGGGAGAACCCCTGTGGCATGACCTTGCGATGTGTAGTCAAGGGTAAACATGAAGGCCAAACCGATAACCAAAGGGAAGTGATGCGGGTAGACAAGGCTCAACTCTAGTGGAACACAGCAGGGGCACACAACTCCCGAAGGGTCGAAGAGGAGGAGAAATGGAGCCAGGCTGATCACAGTAACTTGTGTTTATCAAAAGTAAGTAATGATGTATTCCAGTGACTTCAGCATTTTCCTGTATTCTTCCCTTGACTTCTGCTTCCTAACCACATTTTCAGAGTTGCAATAATTTTCAGCAAGACACGTCATCCTGCACAAGGAGAGGAGCAGTGGCCACTCTTTACTGCAGGAAAAAAAGGTTCCATTCACACTCCATTCGAAAAAGTGCACAGAAAAAAAAAAAAAAAAAAAAAAAAGAAGGCTAGTGCTCGAATAGCAGGTAGTAGGAGTGAAGCAAACATACTGTGAAAAAATGCGCCACACTTCCCTAAAAAAAATAA